CCTGGGGCGGCCCGGGCCCCGCTGCCTCCTTTAACGGTGAATTTGTGCTGATTTTAACCGCCCCCCCCCACCCCCAACCCAAAAAACCAGCGCAGCTCCCAGCTAACTGCCTTCTGGGGCAGGTGTTGCGGATTCCGGCTGCCAGAGCTCAAATTTAGTGCCTTAATCTGCTTAACGCCCGCTGCCTCCTTTAACGGTGAATTTGTGCTGATTTTAACCGCCCCCCCCCACCCCCAACCCAAAAAACCAGCGCAGCTCCCAGCTAACTGCCTTCTGGGGCAGGTGTTGCGGATTCCGGCTGCCAGAGCTCAAATTTAGTGCCTTAATCTGCTTAACGGTACGCTTTCGCCTGCCCCAGCCGTTAATCTGTTATGAATATTGCTGTTCGACCTCGCGGTGAAATTGCGGTTGTGATCCGGCTGTTGCCGCAAGGGCCCGGCCGATGAGCCCGGGCTGCCTCTCCTTAACCCTCCCCAGCTGTAACTCCGTGGGTGAACCTTGTGTTCACGTGTCACCCCTATATCGGTTATCTTGGGCTTGGCTCCCTACGTCCTCCCGGTCGTCGTGCGCTTATTTGATTTACCTCAGAGACATCCCTGCTCCGAGCTCGCCCCAGTCTGCGGCACGGCACGGGCTCCTGCGCCTTTGGGAAGCCAACCCTTTCTGCGAGAGGCCCTCAAAGACCGCCTGGTTCTGCTCCTTTTGGGTCAAAGCCTGGCATTAACCCTGCTGTTTTCCAGAGAGGTCACCGGGACGCTGCTGAGTGGCAGCACCGAAACCAGACACCAAAGCTGGAGACGCCGCCGATGCTTTCGTCCGAAAGCTTTTTCCCCGCCGCATGCGTGCCCGTGCGCCGACACACAAATCAGTCGTCTCTCTAAAATATCTGTGTTTTGCTGCTTAAATCTGAGGAGGGTAAGCGGGGAAAAGATCTAGTGCTGCCACGCTGGCTGTCCTGCACCTGCCTGCCGTTTCTTGCCTGTTACGGTCCTGGTTTGACTGTGGGCAGAAGTGAGCGAGCAGGGTGGAAGGGATGAGTGGTCTTCTCTTTTTCCCTTGGGTAAATCTGTAAAACACTTGGGCTGAATTAGAGCGATCCCAGGTCTTCCTCAGGCTCTTTGGACCAAAATCTTGTGTTTCGAGGCAGGAAGCGTAGCTGCTGCCGTGCCGAGTAGCCACAACTAGATTCAGCAAGGCAAATCTGGAAGCCTGGCTGACGAAATGCCGGTAATGAAGGTGTAATTTTTTTCCCCAGTCTGCTGTGAAATTTAATTTTGATCTGTTGAACGCACGATAGCTGCTTTGACATTTGGCTGCTGCTCGTTAAACTGGTCGGGGATGTGGAAGCTGGCCAGCTGGGTCACCTCCAGCCTCGGGTCCTGCCTCTTGCAGGAGGAGCTGGGTGGAAAGGGCAGCTCCAAGACCTGGCTCCAAGTGCCAGCGCTCCCCCCAAGATGATCTTGCTCCAGCGCCGTCCCTTGGGCTGCGGCTGTCGGTCGGATGCACGTAACGAGGAGCGTGGTTAACCCCGGGCCTCCCTGGACCTGCGGGGCTGCGCCCCACCAAGAGCTGCAAGGTGGAGGTTGCTGGGGGACCTTGGAGAGGCCCTGTGCCGGCTCCGGGTTGCTTGTCTGGGCTCTCTGGGCAGGGAGAGCCCCGCTCTGGGTCTTTTGACTGGTCAGCCTTCTTGAGTCTGAGCTT